CCCCAAAACCCCAAAACCCCAAAACCCCAAAACCCCTTAAAAAATTTAATAATTGAAATGTACTCCAGGGAAGATTCCAAGGAGGCAAGCCTCTTTGGAGCTGATGGCCACCCACATAGTGATGATGGTAAGAACAGCCTTAGTCAGTGTTGTTAAGAGATAAGATAGATACCTATCTGGGGAGAATGTGTTTTGCTTCTAAGCCTGGCAATAATCTAAAATCTGCTGTTAATTTATCAGAAATCATGCATAAAATGTCTGTATGTTACGAACCCAGCTTGATTCTTTGCCAAATCAGAAATCTTATTAGACAAGCTATCATATTAATTTCTTTCAGCCTTTTTATCCATTAAAATACTGTTCATGACCAAAGGTCTGCTGATTCTTAACAAGATTTTTCAAAAATTTTAAGAAAATTTCTGCCGGAACTGAATATTCCCTCTCATCTTTACTATAGGAGGTAATGTAAAAGTCATGTGCCGGTTCAGACCGCTGAACGATTCAGAAAAGGGTAGAGGAGGCAGTAACGTTTGCTGTGAGTTTCACCCATCCAAGAAATCAGTCACCATAAATATGAGCAAAAGAAGCGGAGATAACTTCTCAGGCTCTAATAAGTTCACATTTGATAGAGTTTTCGACACGGATACTTCACAAAGAGAGGTCTATGAATCAGCTGCAAAGCCTATTATTGATGGAGTCCTTCAAGGATTCAATGGAACTATTTTCGCTTATGGACAGACAGGATCTGGGAAAACATTCACAATGCAAGGACCCAACATTGAAGATCTTCAAGAACAAGGTATCGTCCCACGGATGGTCAGGACTGTCTTCAGTAGAATCGATAATATGAGTGAAAATGTTGAATTCTCCATAAAAGTCTCAATGGCTGAAATCTATATGGAGAAAATCAGAGATTTACTCGATGAAACAAAAGTTGATTTAAAAGTAAAGCAAAGCTCAGAGAAAGGAATCTATATTGATAATTTAACTGAGAGATATATCGGATCAAGCTCAGAAGTTTACGAAATTATGAATATTGGAAATAATCACAGAAAAGTAGCAAGCACTTCGATGAATGACCAGTCTTCAAGGTCTCATTCAATTTTCATTATGCATGTTAACCAGACTAATCTTGATGATGGATCTAGTATATCTGGTAAACTATACCTCGTAGATTTGGCTGGGTCAGAGAAAGTAGCAAAAACTAATGTCAAAGGAACACAGCTCGATGAAGCGAAAGGAATTAACAAATCTCTATCAACACTAGGAAAAGTAATCAATGCTTTGACAGACAAGAAGCAGACCCATATACCTTACAGAGAGTCTAAACTGACCAGAATTTTATCCGAATCACTGGGAGGAAATGCTAAAACCTGCCTCGTCATTACTTGCTCTCCATCCCCATGGAATGAGTTGGAGACAATGTCAACATTAAGGTTCGGAACAGCTGCTAGGAATATCAAGAATAAGCCTAAGGTAAACAAAGAGTACACTCCAGCTGAGCTAAAAAGAATGTTGAATGCTTCTCAAAAGAGAGTGAGGGCTCTAGAGCAGTTCATACTTGATAACAATCTTGAGATACCTTCTAATGAAGACATTGGAAGACTTTCAAGCCATTTGGCTTCTACTAATCAGTCTATATCAGATATCCAGGAAATCCCTGATATGGAAGACGATGATATTGAGAGAGATGATCTCAAATCAACAAATCTTCTAAATTTCGAGAAAGACATAGGTGAGCTTGACAGAACAAGCCTTGCAGAGCTCGAGGCTAGCCAAGAGAAGCTAAATGAACTTAAGGAAACCCTTTCTAGAGAAAGAGAGAGGTTCAATTCTCAATTAGATAAAATGAATACACTCAAGGAAGATTATGAAATCCTGAAGGATAAATTCTCAGCTTTAGAGTCCCACAAGACAAAGGTTGAATTAGAAAAGAACTCCCTTGTATTCAAAATCCAAGGCTGTACTGACCAGATAGAAGAAAAAGATGAGATTATCAACCTCCAAGAAGTCAAGATTAAGGGGAAATCTGATGAAATTAAGGAATACAAGAGCAAAATGGCTAAACTCATGGTCACTCTGAACAAGTACGAATCTGGGAAAGATACTAAAGATGAGGAAAAGGTAGAGTCTTTTAGTGAGCCCAATAATTCTAAGGATTCTGGTGAAAACACTTTAAAATTTAAGAAAGAAATTGTGGCTTTGAGACATATACTTGGATTAAAAGATGAAATCTTAGATAAACTCAAGGAGACAGAAGATCTCACTGAAGAAGAAAAGGATAGAATTTCTATTACTAGAGGAATGCTTGATGAAATTGATCGCGCTGCGAAGAAATATACTAAATCTGGATCAAAGAAAGCCAAATATAAGGATATTGACACTGACACACTTCCTCTCAGCGAGAGCGAGATTGAACAAATAGTCCTCAATCAAAAGATGATCCATAGTTGAATGGATGAGGAACTCGCACAAAAATACAGACATGGCCATTTAGAAGACAGCAAGGATATAGACACTAGTAAGATTAGCCAACATGAATTTGATGAAAAGTTACAAGAAATGAAAGACCAATTTGAACAAGAGAAGGAGCATTTGATTAAAGACCTCGGGAATAGGGTTCAGAAAGTATGCAATCTTGAACTTGAGATTGACTTGTTAAGGTAAGATTAAAACATATCAGGATAACTATTCTCTAAAAATTTTCCATGCTTTTTAAAATTGTAGATATTTCCTAAATCCTGAAAACTTTTATCGAACTAGCCACCAACTTATTTTTCCAAAAGCTATAACCCCACTTTTTGCGTAAAATCTAACTCTATTACCTCTAATTTATCCCAAAACTTCTCTGACTCATTTAAATCTCAAAAATACCCCTCAAAACTTCCACAAACTCCCAATCTCATCTCTCCTCTAGAGATGAATACAAAAGACTAGAAAGATCGCTCACTGAAGAAGATTTTTCTCTAAAGACCCAAGTAGAGCAACTCCAGAGACAAGTAGACCATATAGACCTCATGTACCATCACGAGGTGACTAACAACAATGTGCTCAAGGTAGACGCCCAAATGTATGAGAAGAAGATTCAGAAGAGAGACCAAAGGATTGCTCTTCTCGAGAAATCATATAAAAAGTTAAGTGAGCAAACTCAGACAATGAAAAATTACCTGAAGAACTTACAGAAACAAATGATCCAGGTGCAAGCTCCTAAGCGAGAGGCTTATAATACATCTGGAGTACCTTCGAATGGAAGGCTTATTAAGAAGATCAAACCTGGCGCTAAGGTTAATTAGAGACTTTGGAAAAACAAATAGGAAGTAGTAGTATTGTATATCGCACATTCAATAAATATTACCCAAATAGGGGTTTTGGGGTTTTGGGGTTTTGGGGTTTTGGGG